TTCACTTCTAAAACTGCATATACCATACATAGAATACATAACATGCACATTATCTCATGAATGCATATGCCTTTGTCAAGAATACATGCACCATACATATGGTTATGCCATATCAAGAAAATACACATTATCATCTCATCAATTGGCATGCCATACCAAGAAAATGCACTTTATCATCTCATGAATTCATATGCCTCTGTCAGGAATACATATACCATATATACGTGCCACGTCAACATATGTCTCATGTCAGGAGAAATCGGTAGCCTCCAATATCTCAAATAGTGTCTTTCCAGTTCCAATGCATTCATAAATAACAGAATAACAACGATCGAAAACTACTAAATATAGCATGTCGAAAAATGACAAATATAACGTCTAAGGAGTTATATAACATGAAGATTGTTTTTCCTGAATTATTGACTTCTTATCATAATGCTTTGATAAATGATACTTATCACGTGGTTGGGAAGCAGGTGGTATAGGATATTCAGTTTCCTTATAACCGTGTAAATGATAATATGGTGGCATAGATCATAGCTTTGTTATCACAGTTACAGGAAGTGTGTATATCCAATTATATTGGTGATGAGTTGATTTGGGAGCACAGTAACGATGGTCTTTTTTCGGTAAAAGGATTGTACTCTCTCTTGTTTCATGATCGCTACAGATGGTCGCTGCCCCAAATTTTCCAAATATAGAAGTGGTCTATTCCTCACAAAGTTCAGTGTTTTATGCGGTTAGCTGGGCAAAATAAAGTTCTTACTATTGATAATCTCATTAAAAGAGGAAAGGACTTGCCCAATGTATGCTTAATGTGTAAAGAGGATGGGGAGTCGATTTCATATCTATTTCTTCATTGTCGCCTTGCCACAGGTATTTGGAACTATTTCTTTGGTTTGCTTGGCTTTAGGATGATTCTACCTCAAAGTGGTTTGGGTATCAACTCACAATTGATGTTTTCGGTTCTACCTAAAGTGGGGTCTGTGATTGGCAAATTGTACGAGGTGCTGTGTATTGGGAAATTTGGAAAGAGCATAATGGACGTACTTTTGAAGGACAAGGGCTTTCTGATGATGGTTTTCTACAGTGTATACTTCATACTATATGGAGTTGCTTATCTGTCACCAAAGATAGGAGAGGGATTATTGAGATCGATGATGTGCATTTAAATTTAGCCAATCTTGCTTTTTCTAATAGGACAAGGCCGAGAATGAATGGCAGATGGATACCCCATGTACTAGGTTGTTTGAAGCTAAACTTTGATAGTAGTTCTATGGGTAATCCTAGGAATGCAGGGGTTGGTGGTGCAGTGCGAGATTAGACTGGGTCGATTATTCTCTCTTATGCTGAACCTATTGGGTGGGCAACGACTAACATGGCAAAATTCACAGCGTTGCTTAAAGGATTGTTGTTTATTAAAGCCTTGAATTTGGGCCATTTCATTGTTGTAGAAAGCGATTCTTTAAATGTGATAAAGTGGTGCAACAAAGAACTTCGTGATCTTTGGATGTAGTGATCGACTTGGGGCCAAGTTTTGGATTTAGAAGGGGTATTATCGTTGTCCTTCCAGCATGTGTTTAGAGAATCTAATAGTATTGCTAATGGATTCCATTTCGATTTTGAATGATATAAATACCGAGTGATGTGAATGCAGAGAGTTGTAATCATTGTTTAGTTGGTAAAAAAATTTGATAACAGTTTAAAAAAATAAAATAAAAAGAGTTAATTTGTATGAAAAAACATGAAATATAGATGAACATATGAGGTATGCCTTTATTCCTCGCATCAATTGGATAGACAAGATAGAGAATCTGTCCATTCTCTATGCAAAATAACCACCACACCCCCCTTGTTTTTTTTTCTCTCCCTTTCTTTGGCCATCGGCCTCTCTCTTAACCCCTTCTCTCATTTTCATCTCTCAATGGGCCCATCTTCCCTACTTTCTTTCTATCTCTAATCATAGACCCTCTTCCCTACTATAAAATCCTTAATTTTTATTTAGGGTTTTGTTATGCGACATCTTTTGTAGTGTATACTTTTAAAGTCCTCAACATTTTTTTGACACTCATTTAAAAGCATAGAATGGATATTTCTATAAAAAAAATAATTGTATTTTATTAGTCGTTAAAAAATAATTAATGCATATTGTGTTGATGTTACACACCATGTGGGTGATTTCATTGTCCACTATTGTTAATAAATGTTTTTTTTTCTATTAGAAATTTCTACTTTATTCTTGACTAATTACTTAAAATACCTCTAGACAAAAAGTTACTATACTATAGGATTGAGGGTAACTAAGTGTCTATGTAGAATTGCGGGTATTTAAATGTCTAAAAATGTTGAGGACATTAACTGTATACAATGAGATCATTTACCTTTGGTACAAAGACGTCACAATTGCTTACAACCATCCTATGTGAAATGCATACAATGAGACCATTTACCTTTGGTACCAGGAAGTCACAATGGCTTACAACCATCCGATGTGAAATCTAATAGCTTGGGTGTGTCACAAAGTTTGAGAAATTTTATTTCAACTTTGAGCTTAGTCAATGAAATAAATACAACCACCCAATTTCACATCCAATAGTCAAGATTAATCGTGACCACCTTTTACCAAAAGTAAATGGCCTCATTATATACTTTCCCTTCAAATTAAACAACACTTTCCACAAAAATGTTTAAAATTAAACATCACTAGCTACATGCACCGGGTTTTGAGATAACAACTATGCATTCAGTAAATTACAACCGTGAAAATGCAAGTGAAATCCTAGGGCAGGGCTACTCTGCAGCTTTTGAGACGGACCTGTTTTGGGCTGGGCTTGGCCCACATGTTAAGGTCTGCAGGGCAGCCTCGGTCGCGCCTGGTAAGCCCAAAAATTTTCAGGCTAGTCCCAGGGTAGTACTGGTTTGGGGCCCGTCCCAAAAATTCTGATACACATGTTAAATTTCTTCTTTTCCACATTTATATAAGGCGCGGCCTGGCCCAGCCCAATTTCTGGCTAGGCCCAAATTTTCTGCCTAGGCCTACCTTGCATAATTCTAGGCCAGGCTCGAGCCATGGCGACAGTTAACGGCCCCATTCAAGTCTGCACATTTATTTGTTGCAATAGTTCCCTTACCTTTCATGGTATTCCAAGATTTCTGATTGATGGAAATGTGTAATATTAAATATCAAACCAGCAACTAAACTAGTGTGGAGTCCAGTATAGCAAAAAGCAGTTGGATTTTCAGTCTAACCAGTGGTACATTTTTTTATGAATAAATAAATAAAACTAAAAACAATAGTAAAATACATTAGAAAATAAGTCACCCAAATTGTGTTTAGCCAGCAAAATCACCCAAAATCTTGGTCCAACCAGTCAAGCATTGGATATGAACAGTTTTTAACTAAACACAATTTTTACATTAGACCAAACCGACAATGACACAGGCGGGCAGTCCCATCAAGTCCAAACCAAGTCTTGAAAACTATGATCCTTAAGAGTTTCCAATACAGCTTGAAATTCCAAAATTAAAATGTATTCAATGGAGGATCATATTGGAAAAATATCAAGAGTCCGCTGGTAGTCTAGATGAATTTTTTTTGAAATATTTAAGTTAAGTTAAATTTAAGCTGTATTTTTTTTTCATCTTTAAGTCAATAATGATATTTTTTCTGTTGAATTTTCTGCCTAACCATTTCTAATTTTTTTTCTCAAGTCTCTCTAGATAAGCTTAGTATTCTTGCAAATTTTCTAAGTGCAATAAGAATGGTCGGCATAGAAAATTTTGTTCCAAGTCTTTTATTTTCTTTTTTGGTCAACCCTATTTCTTTTCCATGACGAATTGTTTTTGCAAAATAAAAAATTGAAGACATAAAAGAAAATCTTTTGACGAGTGCTAAACCATCAACCCATCTTTAAGATGGGAGGCCATAAGAAGGCCCAACCAAAATTCCAAAATAGATGGCCACAAATTTCAAAATTTATCATTTTTAAATTTCAAATTTTATTTTCATTTACATATTCATGATCTTCATGTTTTAGGTTATGGATCCCTAAAATATCAATGTTTAACATGAATCTTACAAGGGGGATGCATAAATAGGTGAATGGACCGACTAACCAAAACTAAAACCGGATGCATAAATAGGTGAGTGAGACGACTAATGAAAACTAAAACTGGAACCGAATATTAAAAAGATTGTTTCGGAGAATACATTGCGATTACTTAACAACTTTATCATTGAATTTTGATACTAAAAGAATGACCACTTACTTTTGATACAAAAAGATCACAATCATTATTGACCATTAGATTTGAAATCGAATGGTTGAGGATGTTTCACAGTATAAACACAAAGTCCAAAATAAAAAATTTTGGATCTTATAAAACACTTTCATTTATGGATTTCAAGGTACAAGCTATTGTGACCTAGTACAAAAAATAAATGGTCTCACATCATACAATCCCATAAATTAAATAAGCTTTTAATTAAAGAGATTTTAGGTATTAGAGTTTAGATATGGAAAGGAACAACAAAATTTAGGAAATCTTAAAAAAAAAGATCAAGTGAAAGTGGAGTGCAATTTAAAAGTCACTCTCCTACTTATTAATTATTGGAACCCATTCAAGCGCCTAATATATCAAATATGAAAAGCATCGGTAAGTCATTGGTCCATGTCAGATGCTGTCTCAGCCTGCATGATTAATTCCCCAAATTCAAAAAGGAATTGGCAAACAATAAACTGTAATCATTTTAAGACCTTAAGGCTATCAAATAATTCCTCAAATTCAAAGGATCCAAAAATTGTTACAAGTTCTCGTAAACCTTCTTAAGACCTTAGGTTTATCACCATAACACAACCTTCACAAAGTAATTAGCTAAACAAATATGAGACATAACAGTTAAATGAAAATTGGCATGTTATTGTAGGGAAAAGGTATAGAACCCCTGGGTGCTATTGAACCTAGAATCTTTGGAACCCTATTGAACCTGGAGACATTGATAAAGATTTAACTGCTAATTGCCATAGCTTTCTCAATTATCAGATTCAACAGCACTGACCCTTTTCCATATAAGTATCCAAAAAACAAATCACATTTGAGACATGAGAAGCCCTCTCTCCTCACACAAAATCATTTATGAATCCCACAACTTGTCAATGCCGTTAGGGTCTATTGTTTGAAATAAATAATGATAGCCTTGAAATTACAAGAGTGGGTTAGCACTATGGCAGGCCTGACAAGATAATAATATATTTTGTTACAACAGAGGAACTGTGCTCACACGAGTAATGTCTCATGCTGACCACAGAGTCTAATCAAATCCACGGTTAGCATTGCAATTTTGTTACCTACGGGGCAATGCATTTGAATTCTGTGTTAATTGCTGTAATGAAACTGGGCCCCCTACATCTTGAGTTTGAAGAAGGGGTTCCTGTTCACAAAGGCAAATACAAGAAATGAACACACATTTTCTCTTGGGAAAAAGCAGTGCGTAACTTAATTAGCTGAAACTCAATATAAGAATATCATGCAACTAAATTTCATTTGGATGAAACGTACAACCATTATTTTCTACAAGATTCCATTCATGAGAAAAAGAACAGAACAAAAATACAATACCAAATTTAATTTGGATGGAACGTACAACCATTATTTTCTACAAGATTCCATACATGAGAAAAAGAAGAGAACATAAATACAATTAAGAGAAATTCTTTTTTCCTTGAAATATTAATTAAGAAAATTCTTAGTGAATAGGACCCAAAAAGTGAGATGCCCCCGACTATATTTAGGGTCACTAAGTGTGAATCATATAGATCACTTCCATGACCAAATCAGCATCAATTAAGTTCTGGAATTTAAGAAGTTGTGTGTGTAAATATGCATGTGCCACTGCATGTGTGCAGACATGTTCCATGACACCTGTTTGGCATGATCACTTGACTATGTAAAAAGCACATTTTATTCTCTCTCTCTCTCCCTTTGTACACTAACAATGAGCACTGAAAGGTACAAACGTAAATTATTCACAACCAATTACTTGTATTCTAAAGATGAAAAATAATAAAGAACGTTCCCCATCATAATTGTTTAATATTTAAAGGAGAAGAAGCTACTAAAGCCATATCAAAATATACTGTACTCCTTAAGTAACATATACTCTCTTAAGTAAATTGGATATTATGACATATATGGATGGTTCCTTCCAAATGAAATGCTTGCCTGTGGTTGTATCAACTGTTGTGGTTGCTGATCTTGAGCCCATGCATAGGCTTGAGGTTGAGACATTCTATAATAAGGTTCTTTAAGATCAAGCTTGCCAGATGCTGTTTGAAGTATTCCTCCTTGCTCCGCACCAGGGCCCCATGTTTTGGCTTCAAAATATAAAACACAAACTACTCATCGACATACGGATAAACACGTATAGAACATGCAAATGTATTCCCAGGTATCACGACATTGGCCAATCACAACCAACAGCAAACTATACATACCTGACATGGTTAGATGTAAAGTGTAGCTCTGTGCATTGTGAGCAACCATATGGAGCCGTCCAGTAATTTCTTGTCCAGCCATGACATAAAGAGGCTGGGAAAGAACACATCGCAGTTGATACCAATGCGTTGTTGGAGCACCAGGAGCAGTGGTAAGCCAACGCTGAACAGCACTGCATTTCAAATCATTTGTGAATATTCAACATGGTTTCCAAGAGTTTCCAAGAGACCCTCAGTAGATGAAGAACGTAGAATACACCATGACATTAAACTCTGCAGCAAACAAGAGAACCCTTTTTTTTTCTTGATGCATAACAGAAAACAAGAGCCGACCCCAAATAGGTTGAGAAAAGGCTCGGATGATAATCGTGATGATGATGATCGTAACAGCAAACAAGATAACTCCCATTAAAAGGAAGATAGACTATCTGTTGAGGTCGTCATTGTCAATTGAAATGGAGATCTCATCTTAGTAACCTCCTGTTGTGCTGGGTTCCACTGTCTCCATTAGTAACCATTTCATTGAATATTAAACAACCAGCCTAACATGAGCATAATGGTCCATTAAATTATTAGTATACTTCAGCTAACAATGTAAGAAAATAAAAAATAAAGTTGACATAATTGTGGTCATTTTGTATTAGAATTTATCTGCAATAACCAGTCCATCTCTTAAAATAACCAACGCTGTAAGCCCCTGCCAAAGCAATTGCACAGTTGTGACCCTTTGACAGCTGCTTCGCCGTGCCTCCAAAGAAGAGGTTGGCAGCTCATGGTCTGTGTTGGTCAAATCCATGAGTAGACGTGAAACAACCAGATGAATCCGTGATCAAACGGCTTTCAATTCATGTTGCTCTCAGCAATGAATTGGTTGTGACCAACAGGCCAGAGTATGGAAAGATATGCTCATCCATATCAATGACTTCCATTTGAGCTCCACAACATCGAGAAGATGGACACCCGTTTGTATCGCACAAGTCTTATTTTCTCGTCTTTCTGATGTTTATTATGCCTAGATCAACTTCTAGAAAATTGATGTGGCTCATTTAGGAATCATATCCTTCCAATAAGAAGTAAAAAAACATGTCTTGATTAGTACAGTAAACTTGTCAAAGAATAGAGGTTTCTTTTTCTTACTTTGAATACAAAAGATCAAATGGATAAACAAAATCCAATTATGTTTTAAAAGACAGTTGTGGCTGTGGCAAATGTTCTCGTTGGAAGTTGTTTATAGTAGACAGGGTTATCATGGTCACATGGATCACAATATACTTTCCCTTCGCTTATTAAAACCTAGAGGATGTAAGATCTATTCTTCGTACCCATAGTTGCCTCTCAGATGCATCTTGAAATATATCCAATGTCACAGGGTTACTTCATTTTTCGCTCTGCATCGCATGTGAACATGTGTCCACAACTAGACACATGCCCACTGCCCAACACATTGTCCGTATAAGTTGGCATATCAGAACTCTGACAGCTATGTTGACACATATACTGCATAGGGTTCAATTATCAGACTCAGCATTCATGGTAGAAAAAATCAGTGATGGTTATGTGATACAAACCCACAATCTTGATTTTAAGACATGCAGAATATCACTAAGAACAAATGACAACTACTGCACATCCCTTAGAAATTTTATTATTCATAGCCATGGGGAACAGCATTATTTGCAAAAAACAAATATAAAATCATGAAGATATATCATTTTTAAATTTTTTAATGAAATAATTTTTCTTTTAATGTTGATAGTAACATATTATGTATATATTACTCCCTGCCATGTATCCTATTTTATTATATAATATTATCTATACTTACATTATTAAGCTAGAGTTAAGGGGTTAACACGTGTCGCAAGAATAAAAGGAGATCCTATTTTTATAGATTATGTAGTATAAGTGACTTTTAAAATAAAGAGTGTAGGATATATTGTAGGGTCATGGATTCCATTTTCTTAGTATATAAAAGACATCTTAAAATTTATCTATTTCCTAAATTTTATGGAACTCCATGTTGCCTATTTTTTTTGTTTCTAAAATCAGTTCTCCTACCATCTATTATTGTGGATGACACCCTCTCTCTCTCTCTCTCATCCACGTGGGGGAACTCTCTCCTAAAGTTTCCTATTTCTATGGGAACTATTTAGGGACAAGATAGAAAGGAAAATATAGGATCCTATTAAATAGGAATCATATCTTAGTGTTTCTCTAATCTATATCTCTCTTCACCTAAGTGCTAAGCATGGAATCTCTCTATTTCTAAGTGCATCTAAACTAGAAAGTCATAGGTTTTTAAAAGATATTTAAGTATTGAACTCTAGCAGTTTATTAGCTATTATTTTTAATATTACAAATATATAAAATGCTATTGATAAATGGGGTTAAAATGAAGTTTAGGATATGGGTTATTTTATCGATATTTTCGAAACTATATTTCGATTGAAAGTTTAGAATGCAGGTTAAACATACTAGATAAAGAGTTTTATTTTTCATAACATATGAAACTTATACATGAAGTACTTTTAGTTTCATAACATATGAAACTTATACATGAAGCATGAATGGAGATCAAAACCCTAAAGAGATTTTATAGGGTAAATCCAGCATCCTCCATTTTATTTTTTCTAAAAAATTCAAAAGTATTTTCCATGAACTCGAGTATGTACTTTAATACTTAAGAGAACATATACTCAGCTCCTGCCAGAGCAAAATGTAAATCTATTGCCTCAGTTAGAAGACCTACTTGGGAAGATTTTTTAATCCAAATTTTTAGAACCACTTAATAATCACTAAATAATTATTTGAAAAGAAAATTTTGAATTTTGATATTTTTAACACTTAGATCTCATCAAAAAATTAGACCGTCTATGTTCAATCTTGAGACATTATTAGAGAGTGCAATTTGGAGAAAATTTATTGAGGTTGGTCTATGGATTGAAGAGGTTACATCTCCAAAATTTGGGGTCATTAAATTATTCCTAGATTGAACTGTACCCAAGGGAGAAAATGGACAGTATACTCGTGGGAGTATAAAATCCTTTAGTTATGCTTAAAAAATAGTTTATGACTGATTTTCTAATTTTTAATCATTTTATATTTTGTGTCCATTCTAATTTATTTTCTAATATTTTTAAACTTTCCTTTCAAATTATAATTTTTGAAATAATAAAATAGTTTTCAAATCTTTCAAAAATTAATTTATAAATTTTAAATGATTGCAATTTTAGGTGGCTCATCAACATGTTTTCTTAAAGAGCTTCAAAATATAAATAAGCTTTGGAGAAGCTCACCATAAGAATAATTTACCAAATCGTTTTATCTTCTCAATTTCTTAAGAGTGGTCTAGCAATTCTATTCAATTTCTCAATTTTATATTTGTATTTTTTTCAAAAAAGTATGTGTGACTAATTTTTAACATTTTATTAAAATTTATCAAATATTCAAAAATAATTAATTATCGTGACTAAAAATTTGAAACCTACTAATTTATTTTAAAAAAATTTAAAATGTTTGTGCTGTAAAAATACTCAGTGACTTATATTTACTTTTAAGTAAGAATTAAAGAAAAATAAAAAATTACGACTACTCAATTACTGTATGCTTGCTTTCTTTTCTATTATACTATTAGGTAATAAAATCGGTTTAAAAGCTTTTTAAAAATTTTATTGAACTTTTATGCTTTCAAATGCGCGCACAAAATAGCTTTTATAACAGGAAAAAGTTTATATGAGGTTGATACCTTAAAATGTGTAATTAAGGTGCACCTTTAAAATCCTTCAAAAAAGGTTGTTTTGATGTTGGAAGAGTATCGAATTGATCATCTTGATATCGAGATATATAGATATGAAGAAAAAAAGATATTTCAAGTCCTAAAAGAGTGCATCTTGTAACACATTATGTGGACCATCCATTTTCACGATTTTCATGCGTTCAAAGATCTGCTTGATTTGAACATGGAGTTTAAAATTTTATATTTAGAGATCAAAATAGATTCTTGCACAATCCTAAGAATTTTCAACACCAAATTTGCATCTCATCAAAAAGTTTGGGGTTGCACCCTAATTTGATTGTTTAATATTGCAACCTTATGCAAACCACACGTTTATAGTATAAAGATTAAAGTATCCAATACAAAAATTAAAAATAGTTTTTTGACCAGTTTTAAAAAAAAATGTAACAAATAATAATTTTTTGTTAAATTCTCTTCTTAATTATAATTTCTTTTCCATGTTACTAATGGATCTCTTTGGTCATTGAATATTTAGTTAATCTTCTACAGGTAATTGCATATCTTATATGCCACGCACATAATTCAACTAGTATTATATAGCATCCAACTGAGATGGGCACCAAGAAACAACATTTTCATAGGATGAGTACAAATGAGATGAGGATATTGAGATATATCAGTGGCAAGACAAGAAATGATAGAATTCGTAGATGAATACATCTCAGGGAACTTAGGGTCGGCTCCAAAAGGAGAGAAGATGAGGGAAAGTAGACTTAGGTGGTTTGGCCATTTGCAGCGTCAACCTAAAACAACACCAATTAAGATGGGTAATTTGGTTCAAGTGGAAGGCTCTAAAAGAGCAAAAAAAAGGCCCAAATGAACATAGATGGAACTAGTGAAGATATATGATAACTTATTGTCTCACTGAGGGTATGACCCTTGATAAAATGGAATGGCGGAATAGGATTCATGTAGCCGACCCCAAATAGTTGGAATAAGGCTCAAATCATGATGATGATTATACAATATCGAACTTTACTATATAATATTATGTTTAATAATATATATTGTTCTCCCTCCCCTTTGCCCTAATGTGGCGCCTAGGCAGCTAAACCTGCTTTTTGAACATTTTCTATTTATTAAATTCAATGGCTTCTACAGTGTTGACATTTACATTGGATGACAATTAATTTTATCTGGAATAGAATATCTTATCTAAGATTAATATACCTTGGATAATATGATTCCATTAGTTTTTTGGTATATATATAGTATATTTAATATTATTTAATTATTCAACTTTGTTTGTGATTTTTAGCTATTTTTGGCTAAAAACAAGTGGTTCTCATCAAATTACTTTGAATAAAGTAAAATCAGCTTTTCAAAATGATAAACTTATTCTAAAACTGCTTATAAGTTTATCTTAGATAATTCTATAGTACACAACTGTAAAACAACAAAAAGTTCAATATCATAATTAACTCTACTGAAATAATAAATTATCTAAGTAAATCTAAACATGCCCATATGTTATTCGCAAAGAATGGAAGATACCCATTCAAACCCCATATAAACTTATTACTCGTAAAAAAGATGGACAACAATAATTAGTAACTTGTACAACACTACAGGTTGACACGCATGGACACTAAATAATTATAAGAACATAATGATGAAGAATGAAAAGGTACATAAGATATAAGCAACCACTGAATTGTAGTTGTAGGTTACATAAACTATAGAATCCGTAATTAAATCATTAAGTTTCTGAAAATGGAAATAAACTACTAAAAGAAAAAATAAATAGTCCAGATTATAGGATGGAGTGCACGCCACATCAACAATAAGAAAATTCATATAATACAAGATTAGAAGTTCCCAATAATGCAGTACGGTCAATGACGAAATGGAGTAAAATGAGTAGATTTATTGAAGAACTATAAGTAACTTCGATCACAAAGGATACTGCAACAACAGATCCAAAAGGCTAGATTTCTCGGCCAGGTTTTTAGAAAGAAATTCTTGAATCTGACAACCATTTTAGGAATCAAAACTTTCACCAGATTTCAGATTTACCTTCCATTGAATAGGACATCAAACCAACAAGACAGGCCATGCACCCGAGTGCCAACAGACGCAATGAAACTCAGTGGAATGTCAATTTCATATAGCTCCTCTTCCTGGATGAACCATACACTAGAGCAATTTCAAAATCAAATTAAACCAAATTTTAAGATGCAGAGAAACTACAAAACACATTCTGACAGATAAGGCAGTAGGGAAACAGCATATCAACAATAAAATAAGAACAAGACTTTGGATAGACTAGGCTCATGGCCAATGCCAGGCAAAAAGGATAGGAATGAAGCAACAAAAAGAAGTTCAAGGGAAGAGAGAATGAGATTAAACCAAGAGAGAACTAGGAAGATTGTAAAACAAAAAAAGAAAAAAAAAGTGAAAATTATGGGAAATAAAAGGGAGCTTGTTGAAAACTAAATACATCTCTACCAGAAACTTGACAAAATGCAATTTAAGCATAAGATACCATATTCCTATCATGCACTGGGGTATACCTTCATACTCGTAAAGTCCAATGTATGCATTATAGCTGGTGCGACCAATAATCTTGGATCAAATGCATCAACGACAGGCTGCATGAATATAAGGCCCGACATGAATGCTTGTAAAAGCAAAGAACAATACGTATACAAGTAGGAAATGACATCAATCAGTAATACAATTGTATACTTCATGTAGAAAAATCATACAGTATCTGCAAAACATCTAACATTAAAGAATATAGAATATTACTCGTCACTGTCCAAAGTTGAACCAGATTGGATGACAATCATAGGTGACACCCAAAAACCAGTAATGGGAGAGTTCCTCTCTACTCCCCCAATCTGGACAAGCTCTGCTCTTGTTTTCATACAAGATGGAGCATACAAACCAAACCAGCTAGCTTATCACGCTATCCCTTTGCAAGCTTAACAAGAAGGGGAAAAAAAAGTAGTTTTTTTTTTTTTGCGTAAATGTGTATGTAAATCAGATAGCAGCTACAGTAGCCCAGATAGCAAACTATAAGAAAGGCCAAAAGCATGCTATCCTAATTACCTTGTATTGCCTAGGGAAAACAAAACAAATTTAATTCATATGTTTACAAAAAGGCATTTTCTTGAAGGTCAGGGTTACAGATTACCTGAAACTTTCCAATGTTCAAAGCATTCACCAATTTCTTCTAGACGAGATATCAAATATAGATATCAAAAAACTTGAACAAAAAATATGCATTTGAAGCCTTCAACATTACAATGAAATACAAGACCTGCGAAAAGTATCCCTGGAAAGCAGATCCATACAAAGGCGTAAGATCGACCCCGTAGTAGTTCTGCTGCTGCCAGAAGAGGGCCTGTAATAGATAAGTAAAATTTATCCCAATAAGAGTACTAAATTACAAAAGACAATCTTTGGTAACAAATCATAGTAGCATTTTGAATGATTGATAGAAATTATCTCGAACATAAAGCCAAGTGAAAGAAACCGACATTCATTACCGCAGTAGCCTTTTCCTATATTCTCATGAATCAAGATACTAATGTTACACATATTCAACTAATCCAGCTCTGCTATGACGTCCATTAGCTTTTCTTGGGGCATGGCTGATATTTGTCCATGCAAAAGCACATACACAATTAAGGGGCCCACCCTTCCTCAACAGCACCCAATTCCTTTCAAGATCTTTAAGTCCTTAGGAACATCATAAAATCTTCCAGAACAGGTTCACAATATGTTTTCTGACATTTGGAAAGAGATGAAAAGCAGGTTCAAGCTCCCCAATCTTTTATTTATTTGTTTATTTATTAATTTCAGAGAGAGAGAGAGAAAGATAGGTTCAAGCTTCAGATCAGAGTTCAAAAATCCTACTCATCCAAGTCACCAGTAACCGGCATCCTGTGACACCCAGGTTTTAGCTGGTGTGGCACATTGACAGTCGGACACTTGTCCACATGTCTAGACACAACTCTAACACATGGTCCACGCTTGTTGGCCATGTCTAATAAATAATAAGTGTGTCAACACGTTTATTTAAACTATTGAGTCATTTAGCTTCCATTTTACGAAAATTAATTCGAATTTTAAAACTTAATACTTATTTTATTAATTTTTGCATCAAAATCCTCTAAGAAGCATTCTATCTTACCATTTACTACATATCAGTAAGCTTTAAACTTGAAGCATTTCAGAATCCTATTACGTGCATTTACTGGCCCATGCACAAGGTCTTTTATAAATGGTATGTTACAGAAAAAAAGAATGATAACAGGGGCTTCCAAATCCACAACCCCCAAATTCAAGGTCTTTCACTTTACGATTGCACCATCAATGGTATTTGCGACATACTAATACTCAATTTTATTATTAGTAAGAATCTAAAGGTGCATCACTTAAAAAATAAATATAGAGACATTGTTTTTAGATTTTTCTCGTGAAATAAATTTTATTTTCTGCTTGTCTTATGTATTTATTTACTTTTATAATTTTTTAATTTTTATGTAAATATATTATGCTTTAATCATCATCATCGAAGCCTTTTCCCAAATAATTGGAGTCGGCAAAATATGTTAGGCTAATATACATACTATATTTATAACAAATAGTTTCGATGGATGTCTCAATTGTACTGGTCTTTTGGCCCAATCCTAGACACCAAGACACATACTAGATGTGAAAACCAGGTCGGCGTTGATGTAGCATTGCCTGCTGCTACTAGAGGACCCCCCACTCGCTAGTGACCCTATTAATTACTAAACCACCCAGGTATACAGGCCTAGAGGTTCTATATCAAACTCGAGTAAATCCCTGAGTCAATTTCTAGTGTCCCCAAATTCCCTGAGTCCAACACTTGTCTGAAACATACAACAGGGAAGGAAAACAAACCTCACTTTCTCCATTTTGCAGCCAGGAGAAGGGTTCTTAGACCTTGATTGAAAAGGGTTTAGGGCTACTTCTACACGCTCTTTTGGATCCAAGGCTTACATTTACCCCAAAAAAAAAACAGACATGCAAGTTCGAGATCTCTGATTTCAATTTAAGATATGGGTAAAAATTTTGTGATCTCCAAATCAAAGGGATATGAATTCCAAGCTTAAAGATGGGTTAGGGGGTTTTGATTTGCATTTAAGGATCTTTCTACAAATATTGGAGGCCTCAATACAAATGAAATACAACTTTCGGAAGATCAGCCTTGAAATTTTGCTTCAAAGAATTTTGTGTTTTCAATTTAAAGTCCTAGAAACATTTTTTTGTTTTTTGGGTATCATAATTGGTATTTTTTTTTCTTTTTTCAAGTTGATTATGGCAATGAGATATTTTTGGTTGGTTATTCATAACTCTGGCATGCTTCAATTCAAAGGACTTTTTTTTTTAAATGTGATTCCAGAAGTAACATTTTCTCCAAAAGAAGAGGTAAATAAGCATTGTTTTACTTTTGAATGTATGTGAATATCTTTATACTTGTCTGAATGTGGGTATCACTACTTTTTTTTCCAACTTAATGATGCTATGAGATGTTTTTAGTCTGGTTTTATACCTCTAGCATGATCAATTTGTTCCCAACGTAACTTTTACTCTTAACAATCATCAAATAAATTGTTATTTTACATTAGAATGTGTGTGAAAGTATTCTTATACATGTTTGCATGTGGGTATCACTTGTTTGGGTTTTTCAAGATGATGCTAATGAGATATTTTTTGTTGGGTTTTTAGGTATCTATCATGCTCACATTGTTTCCCAAGTAACATTTTCTCTCAAAATATCAATAAATATTTTTTACATTCGATGTATGTGCATAAACATGTGTGTGTATGTGTGCACATGGGTATCTCTTACTAGGTTTTTTCTTTACTCTTTATTTTAACTTCTATCATGCTTATCCCTTAGTTGGGATGCTTCTTGGATGATGATGTTAACGATGCTTACTTTGCCTCCACGACAACATTTTCTCATAAAAAAAAAAAACAAATAGTGAAATGTGCATTAAAGTATCCGTACACGTGTCTACTTAGACTTTAGACCTGTAGTACATTGTGCTTGTGTAGGCATAGCTTCAAACTTCTAAGTTCAAGAAATATTAGTTTCAAGACTCCTTAGGATTCCAGCATGGCAATATGAAGGTGGATCCTGTCCAGGGTCAAATTGATGCCTATTTGCCCAAGCAACAGTCAAACAAAGGACCTTAAATTCCATGTCGAGTAAGAAAATAAAGAAACATATTATGAAGGCAATTGCTAAGTGGTTTTACGATGCTTCCATGCCATTTAATGCAGCAAATAACAAATATTATGAACTCATAATATCCTACTATTGCAAATACAGGGCAGGGCCTGAACTGAGGCTCCCAACTGCAGACAAGCATGGTGAGTTTTGCTTTGATGAGGAAGTGGTCAATATTGACTTCATCGTGGATAAGTATAGCATGAAGGACAGGGGAAATAGTAATGTCAAATGACCAGAAGGACACAATACAAATGGAAGCGAATTTAGTAGTATATTGTCCATGAGGTACTGCCTGCTCTAGTGTAGATTCCTTCCAAAAATCAAGAGCAGGAGACTCCGTTTAAGTTAATTGATAGTATGGTGGAGGCTACTGAGAAAGAGCACATAGTTCAAGTCAGAACTAGTACTGCAAAAAAATATGTGAATGCGGAGAAGGTGCTCATGAGAAAGAGAAAGCATTTAGTTTAGAACTCATGCGCACATCGCTATATTGAACTTATGTTTGAAGCAAGTTAAGGAGTATGCTTAGAGAGTGAAGACAATCACAAAGTTCATATGCAAACACTCTTAAGGGTCCTAAACACAATGACATAAAAAGAAGGAAGAGAATTAATAAGGCCATATATTACTAGATATGCAACCTCAAACTTGACAATAGAGTCAATTCTCTGATTCCAACTAACAAGAAGAAGATAGTTGTTAGGACTCTGGCTACAAGAGAAGTAGAAGAAATCACTAATAGCAATGAGTTTTAGATAAGCGAAAGAAAATTATTAAGGCTACAAGTTGAGTGCTCAACCACACCACATGGAACAGTTAAGTTTCAAGAGATCGTATCTAATGAATTTTTGTGCTTTGAGCCTTGTAGGGATTTATTTACTACACAACTAATATATGGTCATATACTGCCTGAATGTATTTAGGCATCTTCTTTGATGCGGAATACCATCATGCCCTTAGGTCAAAGCGACGACCCTGAGATTATGGGTAGGGTTAAGTATTGCTTTGGAAGAATCGAGGGAGTTGGACAATCACAAATTAAGACTTCGAAAGAGGTAAACTTTGGTTTTACGTGAAAATGCATACTTGTGAAGATCTTTCCACTGCATAATACATCTATGTGATCCACCTCAGTAACAACCTTCTGTGGTTTTTGACTGGAATTGTTTTAGCTTGCTCTATATAAGGATACACAAGGAGATTTTGGGTCAAGCCCACCAGAAGAAGTAGCCCACAACTAAACCAGGTTGGTTTTCAAATACTCATAGTCATAGAATAAAGCATCATGTTATTCCATTGTATTTTATTATGTGCTTGTATTATTATTTGAGTAATCAGCTTCTTCCTTTTCAGTAAAACAGTGGAGATAGAAGGAAATGAGACCCTCCCATCTGCGTAGATTCACAATCAGGATCCTAAGATAAAAATGTTCTGCAATAAGTGAGAATGAAACCGGAGTGCACTCTAGTGGATCCAAACAGCAAGGAGAAACTAGTTGGATACAGCAAAGCTCCATAAATTGCCAGCGAGGAGAAACTAGTTGGATACAGCAAAGCTCCATAAATTGGTGTACTCCACCAAAATTTGAACTTCAAGTCAAGGTGGTTGAGGAGGGAAGTGTAGGGTTACAGCCCTTTGAATCTCAGTTACATATCTAGTACGGGAATCTCTGGTGGAGCAGGAAGAGCCAATCTTCAACAAGACGGTGCTTGAAGGAATGATCTGGCCAATTGAAGAGGAAGGAGAAGGGGAAGTGACAAGGAATCCCAACAAGAGGGACGAGGACAACAAGATGAAGATGGAGAAGCAGATGATTCCTTTGATGCTAATAAAAAAGATGGTGATGATTAATCCACAGGCTGCAGAGGCAAGCAAGAGGAATGCAGAACATGGTATTAAAAGTAAAAAAGAGGCTTCAACTGGCCTTGGAGGCTTTTAGATTAGGGGCTAGACAACACAGACATTTGAGGGCCTCCAGCAAGACAGACAGGATGATTAGGAGATCATCCATGACATCCATATTGGTTGTACTATAGTTTGGGATCAGAGTACCGCTTTGTTTTTTTTTGGGGGGGGGGGGGAGGGGGTTGTTTGTGCGTCTCTCTATGAATCTAGCAGGTTTTATGTTCGACTTTGTCAAAGTGAGTCTAGTAGTATATTTGTCTATTTGGTTCAATGTCCTTTGAATGTGCAGTAGAATCATGTTAACATTATAATTTCATCGAGCGTATGACAAACATGACAAATTATAATTTCATTTTCCTATTTTCCCCTTTCTTCTTTTTTTGGACTCTTTAGGTTATTGTTTTCAACTCCTTGGCTTTTGAATCTATTCCTCAACAATCCAAGGATCCCCATTACGATCAGCTCTTTTGTGCAAAAAAAATGAGTTGAGAGCCTATATTCATTCACTTGTACGCTGTTCACTTACTGGGAGAAAGGATGTGAGATTCTTCAACTTTGAGATAGGGATAGCACCAGAATCGGTTATAATCGCTGTTCAATTAGGAGAAGTTAAAATTTCAAAAGGATAAAACAAAAAAGACGCCATCCCAAAGTCAAACGTCAAACCAAATGCCTTGACATCAGATTATTACAAACATGTCGACCTAGTGAAACGTTCATATTGTTGTGTAAAAGAAAAAATGCAGAGTCCAAAAACGTATCCAAAATCCACACGGAGTTCTTGACTAAATGAAATATGAACACAAGAAGCTTTGGAACACCTCATTGCTCTTTAAAAGCATGATATTTGATCCATCATCTATCACATACTCAGCATGCGTATATAGGACATAGCATGATTGCATGCACACACATACAATTACACACATACACAAACAAACAAAAACAAAAAAAGTAAATACACATGAAAATCTTGGTCACATATTTCAATTCCTTGCAAAAATCATCACATATTTTCTGAGTATGATCATATGTTTTTTTATGTGATCATCGCATACCAATGAAACTAAAGTTGAAGCTCTATAGGACGAATGTTAAGATTAGCCGTGCTCTATGGTACAGAATATTGGGGGCGCTCAACATACTCATAGAATGAGTGTAGCGGACATAAAGATGTTGAGATGAATGAGTGTCAAGACAAGAAAAGATAGGATTCAGAATGAATACATCCAAAGAAACTTAGGGGTGGCTCCAATAGACAATAAAGTAAGGGAAAGTAGACTTAGGTGGATTGGCCATGTACAACATCGACCTAGAACAATACCATTTAGGAGCAATTTGGTTCAAATGGAAGGCTCTAAAAGAACAAGAGAAAGGCTTAAAAGGATATGGATACAAGTAATAAAAATAAATATGGTGAACCATGGCCTGACTAAGAGTATGGCCCTTGATAGAGCATAATGGCATAACAGGATTCGTGTAGCCGCCTTCAAATAATTGGGATAAAGTTTAGATGATGCTCATCTCCAATCTAGGCTCCCACAACACAAACAGGATTACAAGGACTTGTATAGAACAACTTCCAGTACAATGAAATACATTAATTAAGATGACAAACAATTTCAAATGTCGTTGAACTATCACCAACTCATAGTACACATATATACTTACATCGACAAAGTAAAAACACTTAGAGGAAATTGCATTGACTACTTCAAATACTTCTTAGTTATCTTCACATTTTTTATCTAAAATACTATTGCAACAAAATTACATTCCTAGAAACACAAATTAACTAACATCATTCTAAAAACTTGCAACTCACAGTATCATCAAGTAGATAAACAACTATTACTGCAACGAAAAATATCAAAATACATCATTAGATCGATGTGAAATAATTACATCATGAACATGTAAAAATCATGACCATTCACTCCCAAACATACCTTATTTGCAATTTCAACAAATAGATATTCATCACTAAATGGTGCCATGTGTATCCTACAAGAGCAACCAATATAACATGTCAAACTCATTTCTCGTCTTAGTCTTAAGTCATATATGGCACAGTAAATTAGAATAATTTTTACATAAGGCCATCAACCTGTAATGGAGTAATTAGCCTCCAAGACAAAATCAAGGCTCTCATTTAAAATAAAGAACAAACAAAAAGATGCAGCTTACTACAATCAACAACAAGATGAAGACATCAAACTAACTACAAAAGAGCAATTCCCCATAAATTTAAAGTACCACAATTTCAAGTCGCAAAAACTGACATGTTGACCAAGCAAGCCAACTCGTCCTAGCAGACTAGAGGACTGCCTAGAGCCCTTTGGCCAATAATACAAGGCCTTCACAATCTTATACATCATAGATACTCCCTCTTAAAAAAACTAAGAAAAAAGAGGGGTTGTTGCGCCATGCACATATCATAGAAACACTACATTCAACAAAAAAGAGAGTGGCCATTACATGCCTATAACAGAACAATATATGCAAGGAAAGCATAACCTGAAATTGCACAATACAACAAATTAATCTCTACACAGAAAAGAATGTCCCACAGCATGCTCATTTTCACCAATAGCAATCAGCAAATATGACATACATAAATGGTTTAAAAGGTTTTTACATGTCTCTCCCACAAATTGAAAAATAACACAATAATGGGCCTCAAACATACGACGTACGAAAGCACTAATTTACATGGTTAAATAAATTTATTCGAAGGAAGAATTAGAAAAGGGAATAGAAAAGTTCTAAAGAATAGATAGCTAAACAGAAACTATTTATTTTGTTGTTACAACCAGAAAAAATATTACACTAAAAACTTACATTCATAGAACACCAAATCTGACATTGCTTAAGGAAAACTTAAAGAGTCAACAAATGCTCCACCATGGCTCACATTACCTGCCAATTGTGGGAAACATTTTCCCATGAGGAACAAGAAATCGATCGCGTGCAATTACGTACGTTTCCAACATTCTCTCATTTACCAATAAAGTGCCTGTAGAATTCCAACAAATGAGAAACTCGAAAGTATATGCAACAAGAAAAATATTCGTTGAAAAAGGCCTAAAGTGAATTGATAGAGATAAGTATAGAAAGCCAATAAAGATTAGTTGCTAGTAAAATCAAATACCCAATAAGATCACATGTCTATATAGATATCAAAGATAATATGGTAGAAGCACAACAAATTGTAAAGTAAGATCGTGGATTTCCAAATCCATGAAAATATTTTTGAGAAAAGGTGACTAGAATTGTATTACTGAGTAATTAAAATGTACACAAAATGGGACCCTCTTAAAGGGGACCCTATACATCCCCGCAGGGTATAAAACAAGACCAAAAGCAAAATTACAACTCCAAGGAGGGATGTGGCAGGTCTAACAAAATCTAAACCCCCACCCCCCTGGGGAATTAGAGTAGGCTCCCTCTTTAGCAAGATAATCTGCATTGATGTTGGTCTCCCGAAATATATGGCACCACGAGATTCTGATATCTCGTGACCAATAGGATATTTCATCAAATATGTCATCTAGGCGCCATGGGCAGGGAGAGGAACCTGATGCCCAAGCTATGACATTCTTAGAGTCCCCTTCCACCACAAGGGTGTGATGCCAGATTTGAGACCGCGAGGCCAATGAGGCAGGAAAATGCAAGCAAGGTCTGTCCTTCGGATGAACGATAGAGCCCACCTACTCCAGAGGGGCTGGGGTTCCCAAGGGAGCAGGCATCAAAGTTGAGCTTGATGGAGCCTACTTCGGGTGGTCTCCAAAGAGAAGATCTTGAGATAGTTGGCTTTGCCCCCTAAAGTAAGTTGTGCCAATTCCTATAAAAATTAGTTAAGGGGATGCTTTTAAACAAGCTATGGTTCATGGCTCAAAAGGCCACTAAATTCCTGACTTTGTCAGCCAAAGCCCCAACCGAACATCTCTCTCCTCTGAAGATCTTATGGTTCCTTTCAAATTCATGAAAATATTACATTCATAACACACATTGTGAAATAAAATATATATATTGACTAACCTGAAGCCATGTAAAGTGAGTCTCATTTTGCACATATGAATTTTTCATGCATAAATGAGAATAGACATCTACCAATCACTCAAAAACATAGCAGGGTGATGGAATCAATTTAGTGCAAACATCCTCATCAATCAACTATTGCACACCATACTATGTTCTGTGTGAATCAATTTCTGGATCGTTTGAGAAGGTCACGAAAAATCATAATTTGCATACCCATGGGCTCAGAAATCAAAATATCAGCTTTCTCAGGTAAATCCACTTCCTCAATTTTGCCCTTTATCACCTGCAATCACAGGAAGACAATGGAAAATTTAAATTAGGACCATGTTCCACAATCCAAACTAAGATTCCACGAGGAAACTATAACGCTATGCTAAAATGCAAGCGCAATGGAAAACCACAGTCAATAGGGACTGTCGCCATGTGATGGAATGATGGTCAGTGGTAGCAAGTGGGACCAACCAGAATAAGACATAACCCCAATGGCACCCCCACCCTCTCTCCAACAACGCCCATCATTTCATTGGACATCAATGAATGCAGTAGACTATGGTTTTCCACTGGGCACATCATTATAGCTTTCACAATTATAGAAGCAAAATCAGACCGTTATCCGTTGTCCTAACAAAGGATTTCCAGCTATAAGTTTACGGGCATATTCTGCCATGTCAGATGCCTCCACGGCATATACATGCTTTGCACCAGCCTACATAAGAGGAGGATCATAAAAATTAAACGTAAGCCTCATTGATGAAGATATGTGAACTTCAAATAACATTGCATAGTCAAAATGCATGCCTGAGCTGCAAACAAAGAGAGAATACCGCTACCAGCACCAACATCAACTACCACACGACCAAGAAAGTCTATTCGATTTTCGATGACTGCGGCAAAGTATGTTCCTGAGACACAATTGATATAAGCATGAAAACAGATGGCCAATTAAGACAATCAAGAGTGCAATAGACACAGATAGATGTCATCAAGTTTATAAACAGGGAGAAGAACAGTAAAAAGAGGAATCTCAATTCAAAGCAGTCATATAACCTGTCCTCACATAATCCTGTAGCATGTTTTGCTGATGCAGCAGCTGTCCATAGTAATGGAAATACATTTTAGCAGAAGCTGCCTCTATTTTGTCATCAAATTTGCTCATTGGAGCCAAAACTGATCCATTTTCCAACCGCTTTCCTGAATAATGAATGCATCGCAACTGATATTTCAAAAGCTTGAAATGAATCTGAAAACTCCCTATATTGAACCAAATTTCTTAGCATCACGCGGTCCATGTATCAAGAAGACTAATTAGATGAAAGTGACAAGTTTTAGTAATTTCAAATGCTGTCCAAGTATCATGCAAGATTAATTAGGTGATAAAATTGACAAGTTCTAGTAATTTCAAATGCTGTCCAAGTACTAAAACATGACAATGATGATTATTACTGATATATGGTAAAATCTGCAGATTGGCTTGCTGTCTGAAGTGAAAAATATTTATTCTAGGGAAGACCAAATGAAATCAACAAATACAAGGAATCTCAAAGGCCATGCAATATATGTAAAAATAAACAATTAAAAAATGGCTTTGTAGATGTAATTCTTTAGGACCTAACAGTGTAAAGAGTATGTGTAGTTTTTTAATAGAAGGCATAGGTGTATCATTCCCATATACCAGTTGCTTCCTTTTTTGGTAATATTCACCTGACATATCAATCCCATATGGCAGTTACTTTAATTTGGGTAATAGTCATATATATTCAGCAAACCATTTACCGAATACAAGAGACAAATGTCAATTGGACCCATAATCTTTTGATTCCTAATCTTCCATTATAGCACCCATGCTAGAGATAAGATTCCATGGTTGAAGGGGGGATAAACACCCTAAAACGCTAAACATGACAAACAAAACAACTAGGAATGACTTAAGAAATATCAATTAACTCCAGTGCACAGGCTACAAACCACAGTTATCAGGATTGGACCGGACTGGTGGTCCGATTGGCAGAACTGGCGACTTGAGCCTTATCTGATTCCAATCCAATGAAAGCCTTGAACCAAGATTGACAAAGAACCGATCAAAACCGGTATTTGACTGATAAAAACAGTTCGATCGGCCAGTTTTGCCGGTTCTCTTGGACTACCCAGTTTTGGGGAAGTTTATATTTACTTCTTCGTTTGGCTCTTTTTTTACATTATTTTTTCTTTCTATCTATTTTTATTTTATTTTGATTGGATTATATCTTTTTTTGCAAATATTGTACCAACAGTATCGCAATATTCATAATCAAATTGTGAACCTAATTGGATTTCCAATCCTTTAAATGAATTTTCTCCTTCTTTCTATGTTTTTCATTTTCATTGGATTGAACTTCCAAAAATCGTAACAAAAATATCTCAACATTCATACCAACAAATCATGACCTTAATTGTTAAAAGGAAACCCTATCTTGGTTTCCTTTTTTATAGAAAACCTCAAATTTATTCAAAAATTTTCAAGGTTTTGTTGTTCTTCCTATATTCTTGTGTTTATTCTTCTATTTATATTTTTACCTTTTCTAAAAAAAAAAATCTTTCCATTCATTGTATATTTCAGGTCTAGCATCAATAATGCCATAAGTTGCCTATTTGTGCGGGTCCTTCGTCGCCTAAAACATTTATCTGTATTGCATGTTATTAATGTAGAATACAGAACCATACGTGTGCAAAATTGGCTCATGATGCTTGCATTTTTCCTTATTTTTATTTATTTTTTAAGTATAATTAATTTTCTGATTTTTTATATTTTGAAAAATGGTCTGACCAATGTGACTGCCGGTTGGACTGGTTTTGACTGAACCAGCCCTTGTGCCGGTTTAAGCACCAGTCTAGCCTTGATAACACTATACAAACTAAACATTCTCTTGTGATGAAGGCTCTAATGAACATCCACATGAGGACACCTTTGTCGATTCAGCAGGATTCCAGATCACTCAGGTAAGAGAGTATATGGGAGACATGTTGCATGCGATGCACCTGCATATGATGCTAACATGGATGACATTTTTATGCTTTAACAGCCCATGGAACAAAGGAGAGGAAGGGGATGCACTGAGGCAACTTTAGAAGCTGCAGAGGCAGCAAAAGTAAGGGCAGGGGCAATAAAGAATTTAAGAACCTAACTTGTAACATAAAATATCACAAAGTAGACTCTCTGACCAAAAACAGGAAGGTAGAAGCCTACCGGTTCAGCAAGGCAAACCAATCTAACCAAGTTCCGTGATGATTATTTCAAGGAACACAAGGGGTTCAAGTGACCGTAATAAAAAAGAGAGTAGCTAATTGCTTTGTGGGAAAGACAAAACTTGAGGTTCTTATGTAATAGAGACCATGATGGAGTCAGATCTAAGAGAGGAGAGGACTGTTTGAGGGAGGCACTCAGCCCATTGGCAGGTTATTCCAGCCTTAGGGGGTATGCAGGTGATATGGGACTTCTCGATACTAAAATTCCTAGGTTATAGCAAAGAAAATCACTCGATATCAATAGTCTTTGAAAGGCCAGGTATAGGATTTATGTGGTTGTGTAGAGCCGTTTATCAACCGAACAGGGGTATGAGAGAGAAGATTTTTTGGCAGAATTGGATAGAGATCTTTTCATAGTCTGCCCAGTGTCGACAAGGCAATTTCAATGTATTAAGATGGGCCCATTGTAAGAGCACAAAAGGGAAGAGAACTGCGAGCATGGATGGAATTGAAAGATTCATTAGCAGTCATGATCAATTAGAGATGCCCTTCATTGGCAACAGATATAACTGATCAATCACAGTTCATCCGACTCAATATTTTCCAGGTCGGATCATTTTGTGGTAATCCAGAGCGGGAAGCTCACTTTCCCAAATCAAATTACTATGCTCTACTGAAACCCACGTCCAAAATCTCCCATCATACTTAATATGAACTTAAACACAGGTGCCCAGGGCCTTTAGAATTTAAATTGATGTGGCTTCAATATAGGAGCTTGCCAAAGTCCTTTAAGCACCTCTTTAAAGTGGAAGGGTGGGTGGGATATAAGATCTGTAAGAAGTTGTAGCCACCAAAATACAAGATTAAAGAACAGAATAAACACTGGCAACTTGTAGACCAATTATCAATGCACCATAAAAAAAAATTTGAAATTTTTGATAGACTTGAGGAGGAGAGAGGACTCATGGCTGAGGGGAGCAAATTAAGTAGGTATGAAAGTGGCAGTAGAGAACTATCGACGTTTGGAATAGAGTTCTCTCAGAGAGTTCAACATTGGACAGAGGTCTAGATTCTTCTATGGTTTCTAAGGGCCTGAATTTTGGAAGTTAAAGAATGGAATAGGCCCTTAACAATTCCAGGCAAGGTTTTGCTCCAAAGCTTGAGGGAGGCTTTGAGATTGGAGTTTCTTGGAGAGCCTAAAACCTGAACAACCAAGCCAGAAAGTTTGAACCTAAAAGGTCTATTTGGTGTATGCAAAGACTTGGTCAGGAGAGGTTTATGGTCAGATGTATTCTTAGCAAGGGCCATAGAGAAAGCGCCAGGAAATTGAGATTGGAACTCAGAGGAAACTAGAAATCCATCAATTTTGGTTAGGAGGGGATCAACAGCATGGGTGGACCACTTGCAGTTAGCACCATTCAAAGGGACATCGATCAATGAAATTCAATCAATGAACTCAGAATAGTCTCTCATGCTAGTAAGTATATGACCCCCTGTATTTTTTCCGTGGATCCATCTAATGACATTGTGACGTAGGAAAATTGATACAAAAACAGAAATCATAATTCAGGCCAAACACACGACACTAGTCGAAGAAACCCTAGGTTTCTTCAAGGTTTCAAAAAGTGCTTGGCGGCCAGCTTGGCACCCTGTGCTCAGCGCCTAGCTGTGAGCACACAGAACCTCGGGCGCCCTGTTTTACTTTACAGTGAGAAATGCGCCGTGGGCGCCGCATGCCCTCTCTTGTTGATATTCTCTATTCTCATTTTCCTATGGGTTGTTGCTCTAAGTAAGATGGGATTTCCTATGATTACGAAAATATCAGCCAATTTTCTGAGTTATCAAGATCAATTAAACATCATATTCATCCCTTAAGCCAGGTTCAAAAATTGGAAATAAGGGAACATCGCATGGTATGAATTGGCATTAGCTGAAAAAATAAGAATAAGAAAATAAAAGAGAAAGGTGAAGTCAAAGAAAATTCTGAAATAACAGAAAATATGAGTCAATCAAAATATTCAAAAGGATTTTTTTTTTGCTTTAATGATAGTGTTTTCACAATAACAGCCATTGAAAAATGACAGCTTTGTTCAAAAAAAGGGTGCAAGACCTAAACACCCACCTAGGCTGCCCAGGCGGGCACCCATGTACTGATGCCAAGGGAGGGCTGTCCAGGGCTGGGTGTGTGCTCTAGGATCTGCTCGACTGGGCGGACCATTTTTTGAACCAATGGGCTTCAAAACCCTACCTAGGGCTTCAAAACCCTAGAGATTTTCCTTCTTTTTCTCTAAAATAAATCACATGAATCTCCCCATAGGGATTCACACACCTCTCTTTTATTCGATACTACAACTACGAAGTCAATAATGCCCCTAACTAAAAGTAAAATGATAATTCTATGCCTAATAAAAGAAAAATTTCCATAAACACGCTAAGTACTTTTCTAAACAACTCTTAAATATCTTTCATAAAAATAAAAATAAAAATAAAACTAGAATCCACAAAAAAATTAAAAAAAAATAATCTCTAGCATTAAAATTGAAGAATACATCCTTTCAAATTGAATAAAAATTAAAAAATAATAATAATTTCGTCTTGCAACAATCTCCCCTGGTTGGAGAAAACTCGTTATTGAAGTTTAAAGAAGGCTAAGATGAAGTCAAACAAATCAAAACCATCTTCTTCTTCTTCTTTGTTTGCTCAAAAATCATTTATACTAAGGAGAAACCCAATAAACGGATCCTAATATGTATACTGAGGAATGATACAAACTTATAATATTTCGTTCTCTAAACTCACATTGAAAATTGTGTAAGAAAAACTCAATTTTCTGGCCTTAGAAGCTTCCTCGGCATCCATTCCATTGCTCTCTAAATCCAAGGCTACAATTTGAAGTTATGAGTCACCCACGCTTCCCTTGCACTACTCTGATTACAATCCCTGAATCTCTTGAATGCTCCACCTCTTTGATATCCTTGAAATCTTCAAAAGTCAGATCTTGACGAGTGTCTAAGTGTCGACATGTGCCTACAAGTGACACATGAGGAAAGATGGAATGTTTGTGTAACACTGGGTCTGGTCCCTCTTCTTTAGGCTAACAAGCATACATCAAAAATGGTCCAAGACTATTATTAGAAGTGGCTCCAATAATGTGATCACCTAAGTTCAGAGATGGGGAGCACACCCAGGTCCCTCCCTAAAGTGTTTGGAGGGATCCAACGTGGAGGCTGATGTATTCACCAGAGATAGGGTGTCCATGACTAAGCTTGCATTGAATTTTTTTAAATGATTGGAAGCCTTTTGTAAGTAGAGTTTTAATGTACATAGACCCATTTTGTTAAAAAGGATACATAGATTTACATCAATTTTGTGATGATGAAATTCAGTTATTGTCGAAAATATAAAAAGGTGTGAGATACCTCTAATAGAATTTGTCACTACTTTTCCACCTAGAGTTAGTAACTAAGCCAAAATAAAGAGTGGTTGATGCATGAGCTGAAAGAAAATTTTACAGGCAATTAGGGGAGGATCAAAAAAATCAACGAATAAGAAACATTAAGTGCATCAAAAGCTAATAGCTTAAAGGGAAATCATCAGACAGGAGGTACAAAGATGGTTTAGGATTGCCAATATAACGAGTAAAAAATACCAGATCCATTGGACCCTGATCCACTCTTCCATAGTTTGAATGCAGAATGAAAGGCATTGCTTTCATCTTCAGTTTGAAATCCAAGAGTAATTGCATGCGAATAGTCTCTCTGACTCTGAAGGGAAGAAAAAAGGAAAAAAGGAAGCATGAAACTCTTTTAATTCGAACTGGTAAATGGAAGAGCATCTCAAAGAATGTAAGTCACACATCAGTGTAGCTCTCATCATTGTCATAGAAACGTAACTTTATCTATCATAGATGGATAACAATGAAAATGGGCAGCAGCAGTCAACTATTTCTTTAAAAAATAAAAAATAATAATGAATAGGGGCATCAACAAGCCAAGACAACTTGCAAGCCAGCTAGGTTCAGCTCAGCATGTAATGAGTCAAGCTTGAACAATATTTTCCGACTAAAACAAGTCGACCCAGACAGCTTCGTTTATTATCAAGCCAGGATCAAGTTGGAGCATGCTTGACTTGAGCTTGTTTAATATATCACACATATATTAATAGTAATGATTCCATATATAAATGTGTGTGTGTGTGTACACATGTATGTATGTATGGATTCCCTGTTGTATGTCAATGGGCTGAAGGAACAGTGGACACCCACGGCCCAAATTTAATCTCGGCAAAGCAGATGGGCACAAATTGCTCTTGTTTTTTATTTTTATTTTTTTCCACAAATCTTATTTACGAGGAATTTGGGGCGTCCAAGCTAGGGAACAACCAATAAGAATAAAAAAATAATTCAATAAAAAATTGACCAAAATACCCCCGAAAGACCCTAGCTTAATGCGTGGCACCCCAAATTACATGTGAAGAAGATTTGTAGAAAAAAAACTTCAACATGAAGAACAAAATTCAATTGTGACCATATTCAATTTATATATATATATACACACACACACAGATGTATGTATGGATTCCTTGTTGTATGCCAATGGGCTGAAGGTACAGTGTACACCCACGGCCCAAATTTAATCTTGGAAAAATGGATGAGCACAAATTGCTCTTGTTTTTTATTTTTATTTTTTTCCACAAATCTTATTTATGTGGAATTTGGGGCATCTATGCCTCAAGATAGGGAACAACCAATAAGAAAACCAATAATAATTCAATAAAAAATTAACCAAAATACCCTAGCTTAATGCATGGCACCCCAAATTTCATGAGAAGAAGATTTATAGAAAAAACTAAAAAATAAACAACAAAATTCAATTGTGGCCACATTCAATAGGGATAGTTGGGCATCCAAGGTGAGGTACGTCAGAGGACATACCTCATCTTTTTCATAATACTCGCACACACATCATCATCATCATCATAATCATCATCATCTGTGCCCTTATCTCAACACCACATTTATACATGTAAGCTTAAAAAGTACTTGTGGCCTAGAACTATGGCTCATGCTTGGCTCATCCAAAGACTTATTTGGCACTTTTTTGCATGATTTGGCTCAATTAAGGGTTTGTTCAAGGCTTAGCTTGGTTTCTTTATAAGCTTGCTGGAGTAAATAAGCCAAGCTCCAGCTTAACTCCCCATATGATCAAGCCAAACTCAAGCTTGTCCTCCAACCATCAAGCAAACCTTGAACATGTCCAAGCTCACCACATTGACATTCCTAATTAAATGAAGTGTCGAGATGCTTCATGATAGAGAATGTGTCAGAGTATTATACTCATATATATGCCTCAATCAAGCTAAAATAAATTTTCACTCGCATAATAAACAAGTCATAAAGGAAGTGCCAATAAATATGCCTGAAGTACAAACTTATGAAGGGCATGAAACACATGCATTTACCTTCGGAAACTTCTGCAGTGATAAAAAAGAGCTAACAGAATAAAAAAACTTAGACAAATAGGAAAAAGTTGGTATAGTGTCGAGGCTCTAAACAATCAAATTAGAGCCCACCTCAAAAATTTTACTAGAAGAGGGTGTTTTTATGCCCAAATATCCTCAAATTGATCATCTCAACATCAAGATGCATGAACATGAGAAAAAAAGGATTTCAAGTTTTGAAAATGGTGCTTCTTGTAATGCATTTTTGGACCGTCAATTTTCAAGATTTTCAAGTTTTCATAGATCTGCTCGATCTACGCTATTTTTGAAGCTTTAAATTTTATAATTACAGATGAAAATATATTTTAAGGCTCTCACAAAGATTTCCAGTATTGAAACCGCATTTCTCAATACTATTTGAAGGTAGGCTTTACTTTCATTGTTTAAAGCATACAAACTGCACCCAACTTCTTACCTTTCTGAGATTCATATGCATTTGGCAGTAATAATTGCATATTGATATGATGCTAAACTCAAATAGAGAAATTGAATTTGTTAATGAAATATAGAGTGCACCATCCTGTTTTGAAGCATGAATGGACATTGTAACTTTATATATCAAGAACAAATGCTATTGACCAACTTCAGTGTCTAGAGCCATAACAGTAATGATTCTTTGCTGACTTTTCCTTTTGACAACAAAATCCATCCTCACTTCTCATTATTGAAAGGAATACCTAGAGAGATGAAGTGCATCACTCATTCCAAAATAACTTGTACCACATTCATTATTCCACGATAAGTCAATAACTATGATAGCATAAAAAATGTGTCGGCCACCTCGTACTACCAATATCTCGGATAAGATAGCATCAGGCAGCACAGTCTAACAAAGTAGGTGATAGTGCGGATTATGAGATAGGATGAAGAAGGGTAGCAGATAGCAAACGCTTGGAATCCTCCAGGAAGTAACCAAAAGAAGAAACAATGCTAGTAAAAACTGTAACACAAGCAAATGGGAGAACAAAGAATCCATGCAAAATCTCGTAACGAAAATACCTAGCACAATTCAGTGATATTTAGTCAACTTAATTTAAGTGATACAATGACAAGCATATAAAGACATAGATTCATAAGGACTTCAACCATCCAACAAATAAAAAATAAGTGTCTGCATTTATTCTACTCGCAATATGCCTTTCACTAACATAGGATTTACATTCAATAAATGAATGACAGGAAAACACATGGATGTAATGGATATACCTTTTCCATTTTATTGGATTTTGAATCGTGGCTCAGCATTAAGGATCTATCAGGACCCAGCTTATAAAGCTGCAGGAATGCATTTCAATAAATCAGGAAACATCTCTAATTACACAACCACTCAAGTAGTGTGCCAGTGATCAGATGGTCCATATTGTGTGAGATGGGAAAAGTCTTAAAGCATCTAGCAACAAATGATTTTGCAAGAAAAGAGCCACTATCTGGAAGCAGCAAGATCAAATTTCATCACAACAAAATCAAACTCTAAATTGAATGTCGTGGTGCCATATCATTCTACAAACGACGCATCAAAAAGTTTTGTTTTATCAGCATTTAACCAAATCTTCAGTACTTAGATGCAATCACTGGAGAAAGCATTGTTAACGACTGATGATATCAAGAAAAAGGAGAGCTGTGCACTAATACTGGGGCACCTTCTATGGAGCATAAACCATTCCCCAATCAAGGAACTGATCAGAAACCATGGAGCATGCTTCACCAATATATGATGCCACTAACATGTCTAACAATATAGGATGCATGAAATGCAAGCAAACCGTTTTTCTCTAGGTAATAACAAATACCTTTTACTCCCACAATGATAATATAACTCACTTTGATAATTTCATGAGATAGGCATGCTTATCAACAAATTGTTATCAGTGCACACGGTAGAATTGAACTCCATTGCTAGTGCAGTGCACTGGCGAGAAAGCAGCATAGACAACTACTACCCTTTAATATAGGTCTGTTCAGAGTTCTTAGAAAAAACTCACAAAGGTTCCAATTTGATTTCTCCTATTTGATCAAAAGCCCCAATAAAGTTCTAAATTAAAAATTAATGTAAAATATCTCACAACAATTTGTAAAATAATAACTGAAACAAGAATAAATAGAATGTTCCTCCGCGAAATTCTAATCATATGTAGCCTATGCATCGATGAATATTTCTAGAATAACAAAAATAGATGGATGAGAAAAGAACAAACCAAACTCTAGGAAACATCCTAAGCCTGTTATGCTAATGGTTACTGGACATATAAACCGATGAATCTTTCCTTTCACTTATCTAAATATAAAACGGTACACCGTTTGCATAAAACAGGATAGATAACAATGCATATATATATATATATAGATACAGTAGTTCGTCATTACAATCCTGGGAAAAGAGACAAATAGCTCTGAACCTGAGGCCAAATAATGTAGAACTGACCAATAAATCACAGCCATGACTTCTTATCCAATAGAAAGAAATCACAAAAAAATACAAATAAATAAAATAAGAGTTCAAACTTGTAATGAAAAAATGAATAGAGAGTGTATGAGAAACCCATTAGAGTGAACCTGGGTATTGTCCAAATCGAACTGGATAACCATGCCATGCTCACTACTAAACCCTAGACGAGCTGCATCACCATCATAGCCAAATACTGCGGTAACATTTTCCGGACTATTCCATAGCGGCAGCTTCACAGCATTTGAATGAGAAGGCAAAGTTATAGTAATTCCTACAAACTCCTGTTTCTCACCAGAATCGACCATTATTTTTCTGCTTTATCTCCTTCACTAAAACTGTAGATAAATTAGGCAAAACTTATCAGTTTCATCTGAAACTACAGGTAAACTGGCCAATACTTCTCTGAAACTTGGACAAAATAGGAAAAACTTCTCTGCGTCCCTGAAAACGTAGCTAAAAAAAGGGTGAACTTCACTCTAAATAAAATAGGGAAAAGATAACAATAGTAGCAAAACTAGGTCTTTTTTAGGGCTAAAACAATGAGTTTATTTAAAACTTGAGGAGTTTGCAGGGATTGGGGTTTTAGCTAGGTACAAAATTTATTGAGTAAGTTTTGGAGGGAGGGTATCATACTGTAACCCTGATAAAAGTGAAGAGATTCTGAACAGAAAGAGAAAGTTCAGGGCTAGGTCACTATCAAATAATAGCGGTTCAAAATAATAGAACAAAGATGTGTGTAGTAGGGATTAATATCATAAGTGGCGGTCAGTAAGTGAAATAAGCTAGCGTTAAATGAGCTCTCTCAATTTGTGTAGGGTTAAGCATGCTGATAACCATGGCTTTTGTTGGGTGTTTAGAGGAAGCTTGGTGTTTTTGTGAGTGGAAGGGTTCTTTTTGGGGTTTTATTCTTGATGTGATGTTTGCGGTTTTAAGGCTGAGTGGCGTTTTCTTTTTGGAGTCATACTATGGTCATGTAGGTGCAATATTGTTCATCTACTCCCTCTGTCAAAAAACTTGCTAGTTAGGATTTTTTTCGGTTTGGATTATGGAATTTTGGAAACCACCTAAGAATCTCTGGATGGTTATTTTCAAATAAAAAAATGAATCTTAAGTTTTTTTTGGCACTTGGATCTCTCCCTTTATGGTTTGTATTCAATCCTGATGCATCTTTTTATATAGAGAGCTTAATTTGGGAAGATATTTAACTCAATTTAGTATAAGGATCACCATCATCATAGTTTTTTTCTAACTAATTAGGGTCGGATATATAAATTCTAGTCTGCCATTCTGATCCATCAAGGGGCATACCCTCGACGAGGTCATAAGTCGCAATATATTTTTGCATTACTTTCAATCATGTCTTTTTTGGCTTGTCCCTTCATTTTTTTATCATTCCACTTAAACCAACTCGCACTTTCTAACATGTGTTGAACTGAGTCTGTGTTACATATGGCCAACCTACCTAATTATAATTTCTCTCATCTTATCTTCTATTGGAGCCACACCTAAATACTCCTAAAATGTATTCATTTCATATTCTATCCTTTTTATTTTCCCACTCATCCATCTCAACATCATCATCTTAACTCCACTCATTCTATATGTATTTTGTTTCTTCACATTCAACATTTCTTCACATAACAGCAAAGTTGGTCTCACAATTGTCTTGTAGAACCTGCCATTCAACTTCATTGGTGTGCGACATCACATAAAACTCCAGTTGCCTATCTCCACTTCACCCACCTAGCTTTAATTCTATGAGTTTAGTATGAGGTTACATCTCCAAATTTTGAGGTTCTGCAATTACTCTTATATTAGATTTTATCCGAGGGAGTAAATGGATAGTATAAACCCACGAGGAATAAAGATGGTACCCGGGGAATATGAAGGGGGTGTGGGGGCATGACACCCTCATTCACATGATACTTTGTGGTGCTCCTCTATCACAAAAACATGGAATTGCATACTATAATATTGCTTATTTATGTTGTGTAGATGTTTTAGTTATTTTTAGTTGTCAGATGTGAAATTTAGTAGCTTAAGGTGTGTCATAAAGTTTAAAAGTTCCATTTTTTTTTTACTCTGCATATAGTCAATGGCACACCCCCGTTGACTCAATTTCACATCCAATGGCCAACAATATCATGCCCTCTTTTACCATAAGTAAATTGCCTTGTTGTAGTTTTCTAAAAAAAAACAAATTGATAAGGTTTTGATGCTGATACCTATGTAAATGGGATAATCTTCAAACAAAATGTACTTTTTTTACTAAAACTGATAGATCTTAAGTAAAATAAAACAATATTGTAATGATTTACTCTTATAGAGTTGGGATAATACAGAGGGGGCAAGCATATATATATATATATATATATCACCTTATTCAGGGGGATGGATAGATTCTATTTTTTCACCTTTGATTGTATAAAGTTTCGAAGGCATTTTGAGCCATATTTATTTTAAATTCGGGAAGTTTGATCCCTTCTTTTTGAATGATGTATTTAAGTCATTTAAAAAATTTACATTTCTTCAGTGCTGTATCATAAATTTATTAAGTTTTATATGAAAATAATTTCTTAATTATTATTTAAATTATTGAAAAAAAATTTATCTTATTTGTTTATTTTTGTCTGAGATGAAATCTTCTCGAATCCATTTTTTATCAATGATAAATTCGTCTATGCTTTGGATTGTTAATATTTCGAAATCAAATTCAAATAGGGTTGGTTCTTCAAGTTCAGTTTGGGAAGATCTGGGAGTGTTAATCTTATATATCGGATATTGGACTTGATTTAAGCTTGAATATCAATGTTCTTTTAAGCTTGAACATCGTTGTTCTGGTACATATCATTCCGTTTTTCTGATATATTTAGTAATATATCGCTCAGCTACATTTTTAACAGCTTTAAAAAATGTGTTTAGATGTTTACAATGTTGATCTATAGTTTCGAAATAGATAAGAATATCATCGATGTATACAATCATAAATTTGGTATAAGAATTAAATATGTCATTCATGATGTTTTGAAATTCAGAAGGAGCATTTTTAAACCAAAAGGCATAACATTCCATTCATAATATCCGAAGGGAACATTGAAGGCAATTTTATATCTGTCCTTTTTTATTATTTGTATTAGTTAATACCGAGATTTTAAATCAAAATTTGAGAATATGAACAGCTCCAGGGTGAGGAACTTTTTCTGATAAGTTTTTTATCAAGCAAATATTGTATTTTAGTTTTGCAAATTTCAATGAGCCTACTATTCATTTGAATAGGCCTAGCTTTTGTAGGAATTTTTTGCTCATCAAACCCTGGTTCGTAAGGAAGTTCAACAATGTGTTGTTTCCTATTCCAAAAAGCGTTAGGGACATTAGAGCATTTTTTTTTTTCGATAATAGTTTTGAAACTATTAATTTTACTTTGTATTTGAGGAGATAATATTTTTTCCCCAATGGTTTTATATTTGATTTATTCTTTAAGATGAAAGAGGAAGTTTTCCTCAGTAGAGATTTTATCTCTGATATTATTTATTTCATGAACTCTGGGTTTATCTGTGAAGGTAAACTTTACCTCATGTCCCTCTACGTTAGCCTCAATACTAGTATTATCAATTTTTATAGGGTAAAGCATATTTAGAAAAGGAGTTCCAAGAATAACCGGTTGACTTAATCATTTAATCATGATAGAAGGAAATTTGAAGCAAGCGTCGTTATTGCGAACAGCAGCATCAGAAGGCTTGTAGTTTATTATCATCTTTCTTCCATCATCGGTATTTAGAACCTGTGTAGTTTTACTAAAATATTTTGTTGGGACTAAGCCATTATTTATACAGTTTAAATCTGCTTCTGAATCAATAAGGGTTGTGGTTTGAAAAGTATATTTCTTTTTGACAACGATTTTGACGATAGTAAATCATCTTTGAGTTATGACTTTGTCCAACAAATTAATAAATTCACAGTTTTGAATTTTATCTAACATATTACATTTGGTCGAGTTTTCAGGGCATCATTTTCCAGAACCCTTGGCATAGTGTCTTCAATTTCAGGAGGTAGAAGATTATGGCTATAATCTTGGATCAAGTTACTGAATTCTTCTTCAGTATTTTCATCATTGTTACCTTATTTTTTGAAAGTAGTATCAACCATTTATAGGATTTGTACTATATTTTTAAAATTTATTAGTTCATTGGAAACTTCATTTATTTCACCTTTTAGCTCAAGAATCGAAGGTTCCCTATTAGTTTGAGTTTTGTTTTGAACTCTTTTAAGAATGTCGTGAAAACTATAATCTTCTCTTGAAGGTATGAGAGAAAGTTTAGAAGTAGTGGGTTTAGAATGTTATTTAGCCATGTTGATATATTGCATCAAGGCTTCTTTTTTAGCCTCGGGGTCACTAATTTTATCAATCAGTTATATGATAAGATTTTCTTCTTTTGTCAATGTATTTATGTTTAAACCATTCATATCAATGATGGCCTTTAAAAAATTACATTAGCAGTTATCTTCAGGAGCATTCTCGAAGTCTAAATCAAAGTCCGAGCTAGTGAAGATCAAATCCTCATCATTAATTTATCCAATTAAAATAAGGTTTATTGGACATAATATTTATCAAGGGAGAATAATTCCTATTGATAGGGCAATTGAATTTGTATCAAAATTCTCAGATACTGTTAAAGACAAAACCGAATTTCAATGATTTTCCGGTTGCTTGAATTATATCTCTGATTTTTATAAAAACCTTGCTTTAGATGCTAAGCCTTTGATTCAAAGGTTAAAAAATAACCCTCCTGCCTAGACTAATGAGCATACTATGGCAGTCAAAAAATTAAAATTGAAAGCCAAAGAACTGCGTTGCTTAGCATTATATAATCCTATAGCATTTAAAATTGTTGAAACTGACGCTTCAGAACAAGGACTAGGTGGCATACTCAAACAAAAATTTCAAAAGGAAGAACAATTGCTGCGTTTTACTTCCAAAACCTGGAATCCTGCCCAACAGAACTATTACATGGTGAAAAAAGAAATATTAGCTATCGTTCATTGTGTGACTAATTCCAGAGTGACTTACTAAACCAAAATTTTATGATTCGTACTGATTGTAAGGCACCAAAGATATTCTTGAAAAAGACGTAAAAAATCTCGTCTCAAAACAAATTTTTGCCCGATGACGAGGTATCATTTCATCGTTTGAATTTACAATTGAACCCATTAATAGTAAAAATAACCATCTCCCTGACTTTTTTACCGGATAATTTTTACAGGGAGGACAAGAAAAGGCAAAATCATCTGATGGATACAGTTCTCAGCTCAGGTAAAAGCTTGGCTCCACAAAGTCATCCAACGAATATAGTTCTTAGCTCAGGAAAAGGCCTGGCTTTACCATCAACTCCAAGAGCTTTAATAATAAAACAAGAGATTGATATATCTCCCCAACAATCCAATTTAAGCACTAATAACCCGAGTACTAATAGAACTATGTTTCTGAAAATAATATATATATATATATATATATAACCGTTTTTAGTGCTAATGTGTTCAAGTTTAACTAATAGGTGAATCAAACAGTTCATTTGTTGGTTTCCTTCCAAATGCCTTTCAAATCACACTGCCATAGTCTTTGATTTATGCACCAAGAAGATTTGTACCTAGGACTAAATCAAATACAGGATTGAGAATTTCAAGCAGCCAAACAAAGTTTTATTGGCTACTCAAATCCTCTTAGCAGGTATCACTTGAGCATTTTGTTATAACCAGTACATAGCATGCATCCTTGTGTATGCTATATACTAATGTTGATGGCGCTTCCGCTATTACGGGGAAGCAGCCAACTGGCATTTCCGGTGGATCATTGACAACATGGGATCCTACAGTTTTG